GCCCGCTGGGGCTACAGGGAAACCCTATCTCAAAAAAACCAAAAAAAAAAAAAAAAAGAAAAGAAAAGATATTTTCTCTTTTTCCTTCTCTTTTTTTCCTTCCTTCCCCTTTCCTCCCTCCTTTCTTTCCTTAAATTTTTAAAAATATTTTTAATTTATTATTTTATGTGTATGAGTGTATTGCCTGCATGTATGTGAGTGCACCCGTGTTGTGGATTCCCCTGGAACTGGAGTTAAGGACGGTTTGTAGCCACCATGGGAGTGCTGAGAATCGAACCCGGGTCCTCTGCAAGAGCAGTCAGTGCTCTTAACCGCTGAGCCATCTCTCCAGCCCCCTTTTCCTTAAATTTTTAAAAATTATTATTGTGTGTTTATTATTAGTGTGACGGTTTGTGATGTGTGTGCATCTGAGAGTGGACACACAGGCCACGCTGTCACGTGGCAGGGGACAACTTTCTGGAGTGGTTCCTTGGCTTCCTTCTTGTTAAAGCAGGGTCTCTTGTTTCTGCGACTGTGTGTGCATACTCCAGGATATCTGCAAGGTTCCTGACACTCCCTGAGCTCTGCCACCAGTTCACAGCAGCACCATCTGACTTTTTATGTGAATTCTGGGGATGGAACTCAAGGCATCAAGCTTGCGAAGTGAACACTTTTACCCACTGAGGTGTGTTGCTAGCCGAAGGCAACCGTCTACAGAAGGTTAAATCATGTCTTTAGACTTCTCGCTAAACAAAAGACCTTCATCTAAAAGTTAGTTTGGACTTAGTGAGTGAAAGATACCTATATCTACAAAACTAGAAACAAAACCAAGGTCCAAGCTCCACTCAGGATGCCTCCTGTTTCTCCTGTGCCTCCTGCACCCTGGAAGCACTTTCCTTTATGGAGCTGACAGAACTGAGCAGAGGCTCTGGATGCCCATAAGTTTTCAGCCATGTCCCGGGTGGAACTCCCAGTCCTCTGTTGATGTCCCCATGCTTTCTTGGGCTTTTCAGGAACGGAACAGAAGCAACAGCAGTCTACTTCTGTACAGACTGATATCCTACAAAAAGTGTGGTGTGGCTGAGCACGGTGGTCCACATCTTTAATCCCAGCACTCAAGAGGCAGAGCAGGCAGATCTCTGTGAGTTCGAGGCCAGCCTGGTCTACATAGTGAGTTCCAGGACAGCTGAGGTACAGGGAGACCCTGTCTCAAAAAGACACACACACACACACACACACACACACACACACACACCAAAATATGTATGTGTGTATGTTTATATATATGGTGTGTGTGTGAAAGGTGTTTGCACATTGCACTTATTGTTTACACATGCTGTGACCTTTGAAAATGGTATTGGGAAAGTCACAGGGGAATAATGGAGGTAGTTGGTGGCTTTTGCTTCTCTTTTATTAATTTCTGCTCTCATTTACAGTACCAAGTTGTGCAAGTGTTTTGAAATGTGCTCTGCACTCCCACGTTTTTTTCCAAAGGCAAACGAGCAGGTCAACAACCCCAGTGTTGCAATATTCCAGCCTGAAATTTGCTTGGATGGCTCAGCCAAGTCTTGTTTATTCCTCTGGGTGAGGGTAAATAGTACAGAGCAGCAAACATTAACTAGGGCCGCAAGTGTTGAGGCAGAGAGAGAAGAGAACAGGACAGGAGACTGGCGATTGCTAAGATCAGTGTCTGAGTTGGCCTCCAGTTTTTGGTACAACCATCCCTCAGAGTCTAGAGAGGACTTAAATCATGAAGCTGATTACCATCCTTTTCCTCTTCTCCAGGCTGCTACCAAGTTTAAGTCAAGACATGGCGCCCCAGGAAATTGACTGCAATGACGAGGATGTTTTTCAGGCTGTGGATGCCGCTCTGAAGAAGTATAATGCCAGGAACCACACTGGCAACCAGTTTGTGTTGTACCGTGTTTCTGAGGCCACTAAAATGGTAAGTGAGGTGGTAAACCTTGAAGTCACTTGGATTTGCCTTTTCACTGAGAGTCCAGCAGGCTTTCAATGTTGTTTTTTATTTATTGGTTTCATTTTATTTTATGTGTATGAGTGTTTTGCTTGCATGCATGTAAGTGCATCTATGTCATGCAGTGCCCATGGAGGCCAAAAGAAGGAGTCAGATCCCCTGGAACTAGAGTTAAGGAAAGTTGTTAGCCACCATGTGGGTGCTGAGAACCAAACCTGGATTCTCTGAAAGAGCAGCTTGTGCTCCTAACTGCTGAACCATCTCTCCAGCACCCCCAGCAGGCTTTCAAATCACCCTTCTAGACACACACACACACACACACACACACACACACACACACCACAACTACTAGAAAACCGATGATCTGAAGCAGAAGCCCATAGCTCTCTGGCCTGGTAGTAGAGTGCAGGAGAGGGCTAGTCCCCAAGCAGTCAAGATCAGATTTGTGGTAGATCAGGAAAGCAGTATGCCAGGGTGAAGGAAACAGTGGTAAACAGAGAAATTTGAAAGGGACCAGGCCTGGTAGTGAATCCAAGAATGCAGTCAGCCTGCAGCAGGAAAATTCACTGGGTCTCTGCACTCAAATACAAAGACCTCCTAACCTTGAATAAGAAAGCCCTTTATGGATATGTATAAGAGGAATGAGAAAAGAAATTAGTATGGTTCTATTGCCTTACACGAAATATCTACCACCAAGTCTGTGTGGCTGATTCATCCTAATAGCAATGTTTCCATTGGGGTTTCTTTTGTTGTTTGTTTTGTTTTGAGACACAGTGTCATATAGCCCAGGTTGACCTCAAACTTTGCTATGGTAGCTGAAGATAACCTTAAAATTCTAAGCTCCATCTCCCTAGTGCTGAGATTACAAGAGTGTATCACTATGCCATTTTTATGTGAGGTTGGGGATCAAACTCAGGACTTGATACATGCTAGACAAGCACTCTAAACTGTGTCCCTAGTCCCTGCTTTGGTTAGAATTTTTAATATACTTTTACCTTTGTATTAGTGCACTTAAGTAGGAGACAAATGCTAGAAAGATGCATAATTTGAAGAAAAATGAAAATTTTAAGAGTTTGTTTAAAAGGCTGGAGAGATAGGAGCACTGACTGTTCTTGCAGAAGACCTGGGTTCAAATCCCAGCACCCACATGGCAGCTAACAGTAGTTCCAGGGGATCCAATGCCCTCTTCTGACCTCCTTAGGCATTGTACAACATGGGTGCACTTACATACATGCAGGCATGACACTCATCCACATAAAAGAAACAATTTTGCACTTGGGAGGCAGAGACAGATGGATCTCTGTGATTTCCAGGCCAGCCTGGTCTATATAGCATGTTCCAGGCCAGCTGGGGCTACAGGGAGACCCTGTTCAAAAAGATTTAAAAAAAAAAAAAAAAAAAAATTTTTCTCCTCTTCTTTTTCTGCTGCATCTCCTTCCCCTGATTCCCTCTCCCTTTACCCTCGCTCTAAGAAGAAGCAGAATGAGAAGCGTGATTATCTGGAAAACTCTCAGATATCAGAGCTAAGATGCCTTCAGGGTCTCGTTTGGCCATGAAACAATTTTTTATTTAAAAAATAAATTAAATTAATAGAAAAAATAAAGAATATTTAAATAAACTTCACTTTAAAAGATTATTTCTCTGGATTAGTCAAACAGCTAGTTATGTCAGAAAAAAAATCCAACCACGTGACATCATGAGGCTAAAAGAGAAAATGAGAAAATCCCTGTGGTTGTTTTCAGGAAGTAAAATTAAACATTTGTTTCACAATCCAACACAGCTGAGTTCGGCTTCCTGGAGCTCTGGGGCTGCAGTGCACAGAGTGCCTGGCTGGCTGCTGAGTGCAGTGCTTTCAGGGTTTTGCTATAATCTGTCAGAGTAGTCCTCTTCCTCTTCCTCCCCACCAGTGGGGATCCAGCCCAGGGCCATGTACATGGAAGGCAATCATGCTACCACTAAGCTGTAACCTGGCCCATGTTTTTTGAGACAGGGTCTTACTATGTAGCTCAGCCTGGCCTCGAACTTCATAATCTCCTGTTCAGTCCACCAAGTACAGTGCTAGGTTTCCAGGCTACACCTTGACACCCAGCTTCATTCCAGACATTTAAAGACATATATATAACGTGCAAAACCAGTTTTCACCAAAAAAAAAAAGAGTTAATACAATGAATATTGCTTTGTGATCATCAAGTGGGGAGGCTGAAGAGATGGCTCAGCGGTTAAGAGCGCCTGGCTGCTCTAGCAGTGAACCCGGGTTGGGTTCCCAGCACCCACATAGAGGCTAGCAACTGTTCTTAACTCCAGTTCTAGGGAATCCAACACCTTCTCCTGATTTCTACAGGCACTACATACACATGGGACACTGACATACATGCAGGCAAAACACTCATACACACAAAATAAAAATAAATAATAAATCAAAAATATGAAAGTATATTATAAGCATTCTTCCAAGGAATTATTTATGATAATATAATTATTTATATTTGTAATAAATACTTGGTTCTCACTTAATCAAATCAAGATTGATATGTGTAACTGTGCCAGGCCCCAGGTGTTTACTGTTGGTCCCCTGAATGAACTCCTGTCACTCCTTGCTTTTGGCAGGTTGGTACTGACATATTTTATTCCTTCAAGTATCAAATCAAGGAGGGTAACTGTTCTGTCCAAAGTGGTAAAACGTGGCAAGACTGTGAATACAAGGACGCTCAGGAAGCTGTAAGTATGCTCCTTCTCCCAAGCCCCCAGCTTGCTTCATGTGACCTACAGGATTTATAACATTTAAATTAAATCAATTTTTAAACTGATACATAATAACATAACTGTGCATAGGGTGGAGGCACACCTGAAGATCTGACCTGTGTGCATTGTATAATGTTTACATCAGGGTCATCCATCTCCTCAAACATTCTTCAGTTCTTCATGGTAATGATATTCAGAATCTTTTCTTCTGGCTTTTTGAAATGTGCACCACGTAATTGTTATCTGCAGTCACTCGACTGTGAAATAGCATACCAGAACTTGCTGTTGTCTAACTGTAACTAACTCAGGACTCATTGGTCAGCCTTCCTTGTCCCCTGCCCCCAACCTCCGGGGACTGCTGTTCTGCTCTTGATTTCTGTGACATCAGTGTTTTTAGATGACACATATGGATAGAATGTGGCCTTTATCTTTCTGTACCTGGCTTACTTCATCTAACTTGATTTCTAGTTCCATTCATGTCGAAAAGAACATGATTTCATTCATTTTATGCTGAATGGGGTTCCATTATATATAATATGTATATACCATTCCTTCTTACACATTCATCAGTTACAGATTTTTAAAATTACATTGGAGCGGTTAATATTATTGAGCCTGTGTATGAAAGATGCACATAAACATTTGGATATGTCAAATGTTATGGTTGGGCAATGTTAGGGCTGGAGAGATGGCTCTGGTTAAAAGCACTGGCTGCTCTTGCAGAGGACCTGGGTTCAATTCTCAGCATTGACATGGCAGTTAATAACCACCCATAACTCCAGTTGCAGGGTATCTGATGCCCTTTTCGGTGGGCATTGCATGATATGGGTGCCCTAACATATATGCAAGCAATACACTCATACACATAAAAAAATATTTAGCAATGTTATACCTGAGTTCTTGAGAAGACAGAAAAAATCAGGAATATGCCAACCATTTGACAGGTTTGTGTCCACTCATAAGAAAGCGGCCCTAGAAACCAAACAGGGCATGTGTGCCAGACCCACGTGACAACAGACAGACAGACAGACAGAACCACATTTGGACTGAATTCAAGATGTGGGGCCTTACTACAAATCTTAATTTTGCCTCTAACGAGCTGGTGAGTACAGGAAATCGCTCTACCTCTCTCGATTGATGCTTTCCCCTACAAAAGTGAGACAAAATGACCTCTTCAGGTTGTAGGAAGATGAAATGAGATGAATTATACAAAGGACCTTCTTAACTGTAGACCTTAAAGAAGCAGCATAGCTGGACACCACTGCTGGTTCCCTGAGCCAGTGCAGGGAGGCCAGGCAGGAAGTCATCTGCTGAGACGTTTCAGTTCTCACAGGCCTGAATTTCCTTCTCCGATGTCAGCATCTTCCCTGTGTTTAAACACAGTGGTCACCCACAGTTGTATAAAAAGCTCTGGACTCCAGATCAGGAGACCAGAATGGCCACTCTGGCTCTGCCCTTCAGGGAGCTCTCCTGGCAGCTGCTACGCCCTGCACAGTTAGTCCCTTAGAGCTGCAGGCAGGGAGGCCAGCTCTAGCCCCACACAAAAGCCTCTCTTAAAAGTCCAGCGGGTCAGGCTGAAGAACGGCAAGGCAAAAAACGTTCGACCCTCATGACTGGACAGCTGCCGATAGCGAAGTTTGTACCGTGTGCCGCTCCGTTAGGTGCTTTCTGTGTGGACACATTTACTCTTTACAACAACCTGTTAGATACATGTGGCATATCTCCACAAGCTGGGGGACACAGAATTCTGAGAGGCAGAGAGCAGAGTTGAAACCGGATGTTGTAGGAGGTAAAATTGATGTTTATATAGAGTACCAGATGCTGAAACTGAAAGCAAATCAAAGGAGAGGTGGCAAGCTGCTCCTCACACAGGCGTCCATCTTGGACAGGCTCCTCTTTAGAAGCCTTACTTTATTCTGCCTCTCCTCTGACACATGAATGTCAGCGGCCTGTGAATAATAATCACTTGTTGACAAGAACATTCTTTCTCATGTCCCAAACCCTGCTTAAAAAAAAAAAAACAAAAACAAACTTCACTTTCTTTTTCTTTTTAAAGAAGTCATATTTAGGGCTGGGGAGCTGGTGCAGCTGTTGAAGGCTCAGGCGTGTTTAGAAACAGTGCTGGGTAGACTTCTCTACTGGAAAGATTAGGCTGAATGGGATTTTTCTTTTCTTTTAGGCCACAGGAGCATGTACAGCAACCGTGGGGAAGAGAAGAAATATGAACTTCTCTGTGGCGACCCAGACCTGCCAGATTACCCCAGGTAGCTGGCACATCCAGGGGCGCTGCCCTGGGGGTGGGAGTAGGCGGGAGCAGGTAACTATGTGCCTGGAGCAGGTAACTATGTGCCAGGAGCACAACCCAGACCAGACGCCCATGTGAGGTGGTGAGGGGAACGTGTGGGTGTGTAGGCGTGGTGGGTGTGTGAGTGGGGTGGAGCTAAACAGTCCTGGGATTGGGCCCGGCTTGTGTCAATCATTCCTTCAGAACTATTCAAACTCTTCCTTGTAAGCCGTGTCTTTTCCTGGGGCCCAGGAATACACAAAGGATGGAGAGACCCAGGCCTGCCTCCAATCATAGGCATCCTCCTAGAGTGAATGAAGGAAGCATAGGCTGCCCTGCCCTGGAATCATCTAGATCTTTTCCATCTTCTTCACTTTCCTCCTCCTTAGGTAGGAAGGGAGAAAGCCGAACTGCACACGGCACAGGATTGGTGTGATACAACATGAGATGATCCACCTCAAGGCACAATGCCTGGCAATCTTCTTAACGTATAATGATAATCCAGATGACAGTAATTGCTAACATGTACTAGCCGCAGATCTAGATACATGTATTACTTCGTTCAATTCTTTTTTTCCCCCCTCCTTCAATTCTTAGAACTCTACCAGCACGATGTTACATCTTCATTTTTCAGATGAGGAATCTGAGGGTCAAGGACTAAGTCACTTGCCCAAGATTGCAGTTAGCAGTAGAGTTGGTAGAGCAGGCCCTCAATAAATGAAATTCCATAAGAACATAATTATGGAGCAACTTAGCAGATATAACCATTATTAACACCTTCATTAATGTTGTAAATTTAAGGTTGTTAAATTTGTTAGGTCTTTGCAATCAGGGTTTTATTACTTAAAACGAGTTGCTGGCAAGTAGAAAGTATGTGGCTGCATGCTAGTGGGAAGTGCTCTTCTCTTCATGTGACTAGCATAGAAGGCAAACGGCTTTCTCTTTAGTCAGTCAAAGAGGTACCTTTCCTTGAAGTCACAATGCCAAGTGCTGGGTTAGGCTATGTAGAGGCATTAATGGTCACTTCTGTGAAGGAGATGAGAGACAGGTAGAAAACACAGATTCAAGACAGATCAGTCCACTGTGATTCAGCCACAGCTGAAAGACAGGAGGCCAGAAAGAGATCAGGGGAGATGAGAAAAAGATGAGGATGTCTGAGTTAAGAGGGTTGAAGGTGACATGAGTTATCAACATGAGATGTGAGGGTGGGTGCAGAAGGGACAGGCAGCCCTGAGAAATTAGGATGGTTTGGGAGGCGTATCTCTGCATCTTACCAGCATTCCCAGCCTGATGCAGAAGGCTGATCCGAGGTACAGACAGCTGGTAGAGGGAGTGCTGTGCTCTAGCCAGGAGCTCCCTCCTGCATTCAGGACTCTGTTTTTTGACAAATCTGATGAAAGCTGTGGCCCCTTGCCAGGAAAATGCAGATGATCATAACATTCACCATGTAATTTGAGGGTATTTGTCGGCACTCTGAAGTGAATGAAGAATAGTCTGCTGTAAGAATGAACAACCACTGAACGGTATGTGGGAAAATGGCAAAATACTTTAAAAAAGATGTTTGTATTAAACTAGCAAGTATTGCCCCAACACCCTAACCTGATGCTCAGTAGAGGCAGGTGCCTGAGTAAGGGGATCTCTGCAGAGTGGGTAGGGGGCAGAGGCGAGACACGCCTCAGAATCGAAGGCTTTTCATCACCAAGGATGGCATTTCCTGTATGTACTACAGTTGCATTTTCCTCTTCCTCCTTTCTTTTTGTGAGATAGGGTCTCATGTAGCCCAGGGTAGCCTTAAACTTGCCATATAGTGGAGCATGAACTCCTGTATAGGCATTTAAACTCTTGATATTCCTGCCTTGACCTTCCAAGTGCAGGGTTTACAGGTGTGCACCACCACACCTAGATGTAGTTGGAGCTTAAATGTTCCCAAAAGCCTATCTCAGGTGGTTTGTTATAGTGACCAAATGCTGACAACATGATAAGATTGGAACACAATCAGGAGGCCAATAGTGTTGGGCTGTGCTGCCCCGCTGACCCCCAGTTGTGAGCTGCTCAATACGACTTTCCTCATAATGATTTCTGTGAACTTCCCTCCATCAATATGAGTGTAGGAAAAACTTCGTCAGTGAATATGCATAGCTTTCTCTCCTTTCCCTTGCAGAAGATGTTGAATCAGGGCAATGGGCAAGGTTATAAATAAAGTTGGAGGGGAATTCAGTGGGAAAGATGGGAGAATTGCTGATGACTACGGATCAAAAAAGATGAAAGCAGTCGAGAGACTGGGGGCAGTTTGCTTTGCCTCCGGCCTGCTTTATGCAGAAGAATGGGAGAAGGAGCACTTTTGAGGGTAGGAAGGGCAAGAAGAATGCCCATTCATCTTTCCCTGGGTAGCTGACTGGTTTTCCACCCTACCTGACATTTCTATAGAGATGATTTTGAAATTAGTATACATGGTTTTTAAACTTATTGATGGCTGTTGATTATTTCCTTTTGGCCTTGGGCTGTTTATCTTTCAATGCAACCTCCTGAAAGAACTGAACTCCAAGGATATCTTTTATAGATTCTACATGGATGAGTAGGGCCAGTACTCAGAGCACTTTGCACTGTGGTGACATACTATAGAGATGCTGAATATGTTGTTCCAGGACATTAGTGTGCTACAATTCTGCCTTCCAGAGGCCAGTTCCAAGGATGCATTTGTGACTCCTTTTCATGTCGTATTGTGTAACATGAAAAATTTACAGACAGACCTGTCTGTGGGTTTCTTTTACCCTCCTCCCCCACCCCTCCTCTCTCTCTTAAACAGGGTCTCACTGTGTATCCCTGGTTGACCTGGAACTCACTCCATAACCAGGCTGGCCACGAATTCACAGAGACCCACTGGCCTCTGTGTTTATCTCCTGAGTGCTGGCTTAAAGGCACCACGATGCCCTGCTTCCTTTTGCTTTCTAAGAGCAAAGACCACCAGACTGAGTTTGTCAGATTGAATGACATGAAATATATCAAACCAAGTTAGATTTCAAGGAGCTTTCATTAACACTGAAAAATAATGCTATATGTATATATATATATATATATATATTGGTTTTGGTTTTATAAAATGGAGAATTCAAGTATTACTTTGATAATTAATATTTTAAAATAAGGGGCTGGAAATACAATCCTCATCACCACATAATGCATGCATAGTGAGGATGCCTGTAATCCTAGCACTTGGGAGGCAGAGGAAAGAGGACCAGAAATTCAAGGCTATCCTTAGCTACATAGATAGTTTGAGACCAACTAAATAATATGAAAATAAAATCATTATGCTTGATCTTGTTTGTAGAAATATTCCTGAGTGAGAAGCCTTTTCTTCTGACTAAAAGCAGTCCTGTACTCTCACTTTTTCTAACTCATTTAGAATTTACAGGAAAATTTGCTTATCCGAATTTAGGGTCATGTATCGGAGTGCTGGTTTCAGTTGTTAACGCTGCCTCTGTCTGCTTTCTGTTAAGCCGAGGGCCCCACGGTAAGAGCGGAGTATACTTGCCTGGGCTGTGTGCATCCGATACCTACTGACAGCCCCGACCTGGAGCAGCTTCTGAAACATGGCATTGAACACTTCAACAATAACACGGATCATTCCCATCTCTTTGCTCTTGAGGAAGTAAAAATAGCCCAAAGACAGGTTTGTTTACAAATGTTTCATGCCATATGATATGGTCAAAAAATTGTTAGATTAGTATTTTGTCACCTAAGCTAAATCATTAGCAGAAGGAATGTATATGGTTGCATCCTGGGACAGTGTTAAAGAGTTCTGTGTTTTCATATGATTAGCTCCTTTTTTTTTTTTAGGTCTTTTTGAGACAGGTCTCCCTGAAACCCCAGCTGGTCTGGTCTGGAACTCACTTTGTAGACCAGGCTGGCCATGAACTCACAGAGATCCACCTGCCTCTGCCTCCCAAGTGCTGGGATTAAAGGTGTGTGCCACCATGCCTGGCTATGTGACTAGCTCTTAAGGCAAGGAGTTTTCCTTTGGGTTCAAGTGAGTAGCGCAGTGCAATGTGTAAAGGGGAAATGTGAGTCTCTCCTACACCCTTCCCTTGAAGTTTTTTTTTAATGAGCAACTCAGTTCCACATGTTCTTCCAGAAATAGCAAAATGGAAACGTCATTCTGACTTCAGGGTTTTAAAGAATCTATAGTATCATCTTGCTGTTATGAGTTAAATATGGCCTCAAAATATTAAATTGTGCCAGGCGTGGTGGCACATGCCTTTACTCCCAGCACTCAGGAGGCAGAGGCAGGTGGATCTCTGTGAGTTCAAGGCCAGCCTGGTCTACATAGTGAGTTCCAGGACAGCTGGGGCTACAGGGAGACCCTGGCTCAAAAAAGACCAAAAAAAAAAATTAAATTGTTCCTTAAAAGGTGGGCATGACTTTCTGGGTACATCCTAGACTCTAATGTCTGTATCCTCCTGGTGGTAGGGAAGAAAAAGCTAATAATCTGGCCTTTTTATTGGCTACTTCATCAAGTCCTTTCTGAGAATTGACTAGGTCCCATGAATCATTCACTTTAATTGGTAACATTCTCTATGTTTAGTTCAACTTCCCTCTCTGTGAGATGTGTGCTTTACCCCACTGTATTCTTGTACAGCTATCAAATGGGGCAAAGAACAAAGTACCTGATGATCTGAGAACCAGAGGACTCACCAGGAGAGCCCGCTCCAGCTTCACCATCCTCCCAGCCAGAACATCATTGCTTCACAAAACTCAGGGAAAACTGTTCTGGCATGGAGAGACTGCTGGGTCTTAATTTAAGGAAATCTAGAAATGTATGCATATATTGCACATATCGTCGTGTGTGTGTGTGTGTGTGTGTGTGTGTGTGTGTGTGTGTGTGAAGATGCTTGGTATTTGTTCAGTAATGCTTTTATTTAGTGATAATAATGGTTTGTGTTTCTTGAACACTTCAGTTCAATTAAGATCCTCACACTGTCAATAATGTTCAAACTGAACTTCAAGCACTCAATCTAGAATCGTTTCAGGTGGTGGCTGGATTTAACTTTGAAATTACCTACTCAATTGTGCAAACCAATTGTTCCAAGGAGAAGTTTCTATTCCTAACTCCAGAGTGCAAGTCCCTTCTGAACAGTGTAAGTAGGCTAAAGTTTACTGATAGAGTCTTTAACAATGTGTTAACAGCACTTACAGGCATAGAAACAATCAAGCTGTATGTGAAGACTCTAAAATCCAGGTGACATTTAGCAGTTCACTGGGGATCCTTGGAGCTCATGTTTCTTGTCAAACAATCTGCACATTTCAGAATCAGTATTTACATTACATCAGGGATTGGGGGTGGCTGTGTTCTTACTCTGTCCTCTAGGTCTACCCAGGACAAGTCCTCACTTCGCACTCTGCTCAGCTTGTTTCCACATATCCCCTTTTTTACTTTGATCTTTAACAAACACATTCTGGGTTTATGTCCCTTTTGTGGATGACATCTTGTGGTTTCAGCCACAGCTATGTTGAAATGATGTCTGTCAAGGTGTTGTGGCTAGCTGCCTGCCAGGAAGACCGAGGCACGAGCCTTCTGAGGACATTGTGGCAGATGCTTCTTTAATCTAATAGTTTTGTATCTAAAGTTGTGTTAATTGGGAGCAAAGAGGAAAATCTAGACCATGGTATGTTAATTTTGATGTTATTTTTAATGGTAAAACATTTGAAACAAATTATATGTGCAGCAATAGGAAATGATTAGGCAAATTATAGTATACCATATACTAGAATATTGTTTATAGAGCATTTAGTGGCAAAGTAAAGTCATTACAGTATGTTATATAAAAAGCAAAATAAGGGGCTGGAGAGATGGCTCAGAGATTAAGAGCACTGACTGCTCTGGAAGAGGACCCGGGTTCGATTCCCAGCATCCACATGGTAGCTAACAACCACCATGTGTAACTTCAGTTCCAGGGGGATCTGACACCATTTTCTGACCTCCATGGGCATTGCATGACACGGGTGTACTAACACACATGCAGACAATACACGTAAAAAGCAAAAAAGCAGCAAAATAATAATAATAATAATACAAACTATACATACATAGGCGGTAGAGGCAGGAGGATTAGTTCAAGATCTTCCCTGACCGCATAGCTAATTTGAAGTCAGCGTTAGATACATGAGACTCTGTTTCAAAGAGAGAAAGGAATTAAGGAAGGCAGGAAGGAAAAGGAAATATACACACAGATTCATCCAAATACATGAAATAGAAGTAATAAAATATAAAAGTGATAGAAACGTGTATTTATGTTTATAGCAGTACTATTCATACAACCAAAAAGTGAGCACAATCTACACGCCCATCAAATGATGACCGGGTAAGTGAAATGTGACACACACAGAGCGACCCGTGCTACAACATGGTGAGCCTTGAAACATTGTGCCAGCCACAGAGGAATAAATACTGTATGATTCTGCTTATGTGTAATATGCAAAATAGGCAAATTCATAGAGGCAGAAAGTAGACTAACATTTAGGAGGACTGAGAAAGAGAAGAACGGTCATTTGTTGCTTCCTGGTTCAGAGTTTCTGTTGGCAGTAAAGAAAACTTTTGAAGCAGTCATGATGGTTGCACAACGTGGTGAATGTAATTAATGCACCTTTTGATGTCTTAAATGGGGAAGCTTATGTTTTATATGTACATAACATATATATCTTCACATGTATGGGTCCTATTATATACATATACATACATATTTTTTTTTTACTCAAAAAAGAGAAACTCTCTAACATTACATATTCTTTTTGTTGTTGGTGGGGTCTTTTTGAGACAGGGTCTCCCTGTAGCTCCAGCTGGCCTGGAATCCATTATATAGACTGGGCTGCCCTTGAGCTCACAGAGATCCACCTGCCTCTCGGCCTCCTGAGTGCTGGGATTAAGTTGTGTGCCACCACATCTGACTGGGGTTGTGTGGCTCTCAGTGCCAGGCAGAGCTGTTCTTTTTGCGTCTGCTTATAAGGTATCAGTTTAGTTACCTCTTTGCAACAAGAAAAAATGCAAATGTTTTTATTATAAGTTCTCTAAGACTTCACGTCCTTACTTGAAAATAGGAAGTGGTATTAGCAACTACCTCTCAGAGATTTTATAATAATTAAAGGATATGAAATTATAAAGGAAATGACTTCTCCCACAGTGGGTAAGATTTAACCCTTGCTCCTCAGTGTGCTCCAGGGCTAGTGGCATTAGTATCCAAGGAGCTTGTTAGAAGGCCAGAAGCCTGAACCCACACATCCGGAAGCATCTATAGGTTCACAAGATTCTCAGATGATTTGTGTGTTAAAAGTTATGTTCTGAGTGACTTCATAAATAGTTCTCAGTCTGTTGAGATTGCCAGAATCACCTGGAAAGCTTTTTAACAAGCTGGATGGGGCGCGGGGGTGGGGTGGGGTCGGGGGTTGGAGAGATGGCTCTGTGGTTAAAAGCACTGGCTGCTCTTGCAGAGGGCCTGGGTTTGGTTTCCAACACCACACGGCAGCTAACAACCATTTGTAACTCCAGATCCAGGGGATTCAGTGCTCTCTCTGGCCTCCACAGTCATTGTGCACTTACATGCAGGCAAAACACTCATACACATAAAATAAAAATACATCTAAATAAATAAATAAAATGCCTATCCCAGGCATTCCCCCAGAATGGTCGGATGGGTGCCTGGATCAGAATGGCCTAAGTATTAGAGCTTCTAAGTGAATCAAATGTGCTGATAGAACTGAGAAATGTTGCACTGCTTTCTGCACACACCTCCATACCCCAAATGAAAGCATTGTAGCTGTGCCCCATTCCCTATAACGTTAAAAGATGACCCCTATTATATATGTACTGATTTACTTGAAATACACATATTGTTTAAAAACTTCAAGACGTTGTGGAATCATGGTGGGCATTTAATATTGAACCGCAGCTGAAGAGCCACATCTTTTTGGGGGGGAGGGAAGTGCAAGGAGGGACACTTTTCAGTAACATTTTGTCTTTTAAAAAGTTTTGATTATAGCCAGGTGTGGTGGTGCACGCCTTTAATCCCAGAACTTGGGAGGCAGAGGCAGGCGGATCTTTATGATTTCGAGGCCAGCCTGGTCTATATAATGAGTTCCAGGACATCTGGGGCTACAGGGAGACCCTGTCTCAAAAAGACAAAAAAAAAAAGTTGTGATTATTTTACATGCTGTTTTCTTTCATCTAAGAATTTCTTCATTGGAACTCTTGGGAAACTTAAAATGGCTATATAATATCCAGCAAGAACACCACAGATTGTTTTTAAAACTTGGCTCCTACCTTTGGATGCCTGGGCTATTTCTATTCTTCATGTAATTAGTCACTCATCAAACATCTTTGAGAATGAAATTATTCCTGCATTTGGTATGTTTTTCTTCAGCATAAGGTTTTATACATGACATAAATCATTATAAGTGCTTTTTAAACTCATTTATAGATTAGTGGTTTGCTAAAATACATCAATTTACATTCTGTCAGCAATGTATAATAGAATTCAGCATTTCATACATAAAAATTGGTTTTAATTTTCTCAATAATTCAGTTAATGTGTTTATTTTACTAAAATTTTTTCAAAAATATTCTAAAAATTACGTTGCATGTGTGGAGTATATGCATGTGTGTACACAGGTATGTGCAGGAGGCCATATCCTCAGCTGGTCTTTGCCTTTAAAAAAAATGGAGGTAGGGAGAAGTCAAGTCAGTTGGCAAAGTGCTTGCCATATAAGTATGGGGACCTGATTTAGAATTTTCACCCATGTAAGAAGCCATGTGTTACAGCGCACACCTGTCAGCCTCTGAGGATGCAAACAGAATCCCTAGGGCTCACTCGTCAGCCAGTCTAGTGGAATCAGTGAACTCCAGGAGATTAAGTGGAGAGTGACTGAGAAGACACTTGACATTGACCTCTGTCCTCTGCATTCACATGTACACACGGATGACTTAACCCATTTACTTACATGGTCATTGCATAGTAGGTAGTCTTGTCATGTCTGCTTTGGAAAGTAGATATACTGTCTTCTATTTTTTACTAATTGTTTATTTTCAAATTTGGCTTTAATTTATGCAATATATTCTTTTGAAATACCAGGATGTTGGTGAGTGTAGAGATAAGGTGTATGTGAACATTGAACAAAAAATTGCTGCATTCTCCCAGAGCTGTGATCTCTATCCAGGTGAGTGACAGTAAGTGGGTGCCCGATGGTGAAGCAAAGGTGCCTTTGCTCCCTTTCTGAGAACTGCCCGCTTCCCTGCCCAGCTGTGCTTCATCTGTGGCAGCTGGTAGTGCCCTGTAGATGACAGAAGGGACCATCTGTGTTCCCTTGGGCAAAGTTGGCCTTCAGGTGCAGAGCCAACTGGATTTCCTTGTGTACAAATTGCTCTTAAATCTGATGTGAGTTGGAGGGAACCATATCTCATTTTTAACCACGCAGAATGAAATCCTTCCAATTAAAGGATTTGTCTGCATGTTACAATGGAAGGGGCAGGCATAGTTAAAGTTTATACAAAGAGCTGGTTTTCCGGTACTTAGAAAATAGGTGAACAAATCCTATACTGAGAAGCTGAAGCTGCCTGTTCACCAGAGCCATGGATGCAGAACTGTCCATAGAGTCATTCCTATAAATTAAGCCATGTTTTCCTTTAGTTTCCATCAAAGACGCAAAATTTTAAACTGGGTGTGGTGGTGCACACCCATAATCCCAGCACTCAGGAGGTGGAAGCAGGGAAATCAGAAGTTCAGTGTCATATTTTACTACAAATAGAATTCAAGGTTAGCTTGGGATACATGAGACTGTATCAGATGAAAAAAATATGTAAAAATTCCAGAAAAGTCTAGCATGGTTGACTAGGTTTCCCCAGATAGCTGAGCTTGAGGAGGACACAGAAGAGAGGAAGGAAGTAACTACCACACAAACCACCTTCCCTCACTCTCTACTGCTCTGGGTTACCATGGGAACCTGTCTAAAGGAGGGTGCTGGGGACAGGGATTAGGCTAGACTACTCTTTAGGCATAACTGCTGACTTCAAATTTGATCCTTGGGCCAGATGTGGTGGCACACGCCTTTAATTCCAGTACTCAGGAGGCAGAGGCAGGCAGATCTCTGTGAGTTTGAGGCCAGTCTGGCTTACATAGCGAGTTCCAGGCCATCTGTGGCTACAAGGACACCCTGTCTCAAAAAGACAAGAAAAAAAAAAAAGCTTGTTGGAGCTGGACAGATGGTTCAGCAGTTACGTGCACTGGCTGTTCTTTCAGAGGATCTGGGTTCTAGTTCTAGTACCCACATAGCAGTTAACAACTGTCCCTACCTTCAGTTCCAGGGGAATCCAATGCTCTCTTCTGACCTCCACAGGCATTACATGACATAGGTACACTTACACGCATGCAGGCAACACAGCCATAACAAAATAAAAATAAATAAAATAAAAATCTCATTCTTTTAGGGGAGGATTTGGTACAACCACTTCCCAAGAGCTGCCCTGGATGCCCCCAGGACATACCGGCAGACAGCCCTGACCTGAAGGATGCACTTGATCATTCTATCAGAAAGCTCAATGCAGAGAATAACGCAACCTTCTATTTCAAGATTGACACTGTGAAAAAAGCTACATCACAGGTCTGTAAATGATGTTACAAAAGTGGGATTTTATAGTCTATGTGCAAATTGCTTCCTATTTTTGCCACTGCCTTAGCTCTAAGTTGGGAAACTATACTTGGTAACAGGATTTGATGGTTTTAGGTCCCAAGGCCCAACACTCCTGCATGATTGATGTGTGATCTTGGAAAAGTTTCTTAAAATTGCTTTGTTTCCTATCTGAAAATATCTGGGGTGAAGTTCAAATAAGATAATGCCTGACAAATCACTTTTCAAATTCTAAAAGGCAAATAGTAGCAACCATTGTGTAGTTATTAAAATTCGGGCTAAGAAAAGCAAGACTTTTATTCTTTACCTTCCTGGACTCATAAGATCACTTAGTGCTGGGAGTAGTAGTACCGGCCTATAATCCCAGCACTCAGAAGGCTGGGGAAGGATTACCACAAGTTCTAGGTCAACCTGAACCACATAGCAAGACCCTGTCTTAAAACACACACATGGCCAGACATAGTCACCCATGCCTTTAATCCCAGCCCTCCGGAGACATAGGTAGATCTCTGTGAGTTTGAGGTCCGCCTGATCTACATAGCTCCGGGCCAGCCAGGACTACACTGTGAGTCACTGTCTCAAAACGAAAAAACAAACAAGCAAACCAAACACAACAATAAAAAAATCACACACATGTATGTAGGCATGCACATATAACACACACACAAAACAAAACAACTCTAAACCACATGGGCTCAGTACATGAGTAGTCAGGAGCCATTGATCGCACTTTGCTCTCACGTCTTCTCCCACTGTTCCCTCTGCTGAGGGCACCTTCACCTCTTACAAATACACACCTGAGGATTTGTTTCTCCTTTCAATACTGATACTGGTACAAATACCCTATCAATCAAAGATGTTTACCTTCATCTGGGGCCAGGCCAGCTCTACCACAGCCTCTGTCCTTGGTGACCCTGAATGGTCACTCAAATCTCAGTCTTCATGGTCCTACCTGTAAAATGAGCAGCTAGAGCAGAGGAGCCCATGAGTTGGGTTCCCAGCACCCACATGTGGGCTAACAGACATCCATAAGTCCAGTTCCAGGGATCTGACCCCCTTTTCTGGGCCCTGTAGGCATTTCACACACAAAGGCACTTAAATGCAGGCCACACACTCATAAATAAAATAAAAATAAATCAAATCAATCAAAAAAATTTTTAACTGGAACTAGAGAGATGGCTCAGAGTGTAAAAGCACTTGTTGCCTGTGGGTCTCTTCCTCCCCTCATGGGCCATTGGCCACTGACCCACGAGAACAAAGGGAGCAGAAGTGATGAACGGGGTCAGGATGTCCAGTGAGCACGGATGGAAAAGACCTTCCAGGAGTCAGATTCAATGATATGGCTCATTTATTCAGTGGGGGTCAGGGAAAAATATAGGGTGGAGATGGTAGCCAAAGCTCCACTTGAAATTCTGGGGGCAGTTCCTGCATGGGACTATGCCAAAGGTCATGTTCCAAATAAAGCCAGGCATCCGTGCTTGGAGGCGCTTTCCAGATAAGGTCAGGCAGAGAGCAGGAAGCCCCCACTGGGAAAGGGAGTCCTCCATATAGCGCAGAGCTCCTTAGAGCTATCCAGACATGGTGGACTGCAACCTTAGCAGCACGGTCCCCCAACATCTCCCCCTGTTTTGTTTTGTAGTGGAGAAGTGTTATCACAAGCTTTAAGAGCCAACTCATGTATCTCAGGAGAATCCAAAGTCTGATAATTGACCATGACCTCATTGGCCGTAATTTTTGCAATGATAGTAATTTGTAAGTGAAGAAACAGGAAGCAAGCACCAAAATAACACACACCATAATCAGGGGGCTAACAAAGGGTAGGAGCCATGAAAACAAGGGGTTGCTAAACCAACTTAATTGTTCGGTGGGTTGATATCTTGAAAATAGATTGCTACGAAGTTTTTTGAGAGTATTAACATTGGTCTCAACCTCAACAATATTTGATTCATTTACAAAAAAAGCAGCATTCTTCTCCCAATACTACACACGTCCATCCCCTCACATCCCTCTCCACACCCGTACAGTGGTTATTAGGTCTAGTGCTCTTCTCTTTTGGAGCACAATCCTGGCAAGAGTTCATTTGTCATTGGAGAGACTCAAGGCTGTCAGTCATGGATGCCATTGTTTGGTTGAGCTTGTCTCGAAAGTCTCCTGCCAGGTGATGGGTTTGCACAACAGCCGCAGTCGCAGTGCCTCCAGCACCCAGAGAGAGGGCGAGTCCAAGTCCCACTAGCAGGGGGATGAAGATTTCTCTTCAGGGGCAGGTGTGAAGGAATAGGGTGGCCTCTTCTTCCTCGAATACATACACGTGGGGAATAATCATCACAGGTACACAAAAGGTGGACAAAGAGGAGTTAATACAGGGCTGGGGTTTTCCTTTGCACCATAGAAAAAGAGGAGGGACAATGCATGCTGTCCCGGAGAGAGTAATGTTAGTGAGGCATTTGTAATGACTAGGCTTAATCTTGCTGGAAATGCAAACTGGATAGTTAGCCAGTTGTTCGAATAAGGGAATATCCATCAGATGAGAGTCAGTGAAATCGTTTTTTGTTTCTGGGTAAAGAAGGGTGGTATTAACTGGTACTGCTGTCAGTAAAGGTCTATTGCTGGATGCACAAAAGAAACAGTTAGAGGCATTAGGGTGGGTGGTGAAGGGAAGAAAGTTAGCAACATATTGAAAGTATTGGCTCCAGGACATGGTTGATCTTATCTGGTCCTCTGTTTGTTTTTCCTGTAGAATAGTATTATGATGAGTTAGCACAGGCTTAGCTGTGGGTACAAGCTGTCGAGAGATATGAAAGTCAGCTGTAGGGTAGCTAGAGAATGTGCCTGGGTAGAATTTTCCTGTTACTCTGACATGCCAGCAGTCGTCCCATGGATCTGCAACATATATTAGGGAATAGTCATGGTTCCCATAGAGATACTTATTATCCTTTAGGTAGATGGATCTTTCCTGTCCTGTTATGCCCTCATATCCCCCAGTGAATCCTAGTTCCAACCTACAGAGATTGAAGTAGCAGCAGCCCCCACAGGTATCAACTTCCTTGAGGCATGATGGATCTGTCGGAAAGGAAAGCAAACATATTCGTTAGTTTTGTATCTGCTAGCATGTGGGTATATTATGATTTCTATGGGTTTTTGACAGCCCACTAGGGGGCAGTCTTTGGTTCCGATTATTTGATTTTTTTCCTTGATATGTTTCCCTGACATAAAATCTCCAGAGCATAGTATTAGGGGAGATGGGGCTGGCCGAAGTGTTGGTGTTAAGTAGGGTAAAAACGGCCATGAGGATGACAGAGAAGGAAGCTGGGGGGGCAGGATCATCTGTGGCAAGCAGTCTCCGCCAGATCATGGATCTCTTTTTCGTCATCTCTGACAGAGTCGTATGAGCCAGCTTTTTTGTGGGCAGAGAGGTGACGGACATTTCTGAACCCAGATAGGCTTTGATTGATCCTGTGGAAAAACACAAGCAAATCCTCTCTCTGTGGTCAGTAATGGATCTGGTCCTTTCCAGATTCCATCAAGGGGGTCCTTCCATTTAACCATGATGGGTGGTATGGGGTGTGTCTGGGCCCAGTGCCGGGCGATGGGGGGCTTCAGAGTCTGGATATACATTGAGTACATTAAGGGTAAACAGGCTAATGCTAATTGAATGTTGGTAGAATATGTTGTTTTAGCCTGTCTTTGCAGTTGGTCTTTTAAGGTTTATGTGACCTCTCCACAATGGCTGGTCCTTGTGTGTTATATGGGATGCCAATATGATGGGTGATTTTCCAGGCTTCACAAAATTTTTTAAACGGAGAGTTGGTAAATGCTGGGCCATTATCTGTCTTTACTTGTGAGGGGAGTCCCGTGAAAGCAAAAGATGAAAGCATGTGATTTATTAGATTTTTTGAACTTTCACCAGTTTGGGCATTAGCACAAAGGAAGTGGGAGTAAGTGTCTACAGTTACAGATACGCATTTTTGTCTGCCTAATTGGGGGACATGGGTTACATCAACTTGCCAGAGGGCATTAGATTTTAGCCCCCGAGGATTGGTGCCCATCTGTTGTATAGCAGGGGTACGTATCATTGATGCACAGGAAGAGCAGGTTTTAACAATGCGTTTAAGTTGTCTGAGGGGAATGTGGGGGAACCTGAGATGGAGCCCTTGTAAATTAATGTGGGTGGCCTGGTGGAGGTTCTGGGCATCTGTTATGCTGGCAGAGAATGTTCCAGCAGTGGCTACCTCATCTGCTATGGCATTTCCTCAGTAAGAGGACCTGGGAGGGAGAAGTGGGACCTGATAAACTGGACAAATAACAGAGCCACCCGTTTTTGTAGCAGTGTGGAAATTTTAATTAGCAGGGGTGAGGGGGGTTGCCATCTATCTTGACAAAGGATCGACCTAACCATGGGAGTAAGTTAACATCATAAATGCTGTCAGAGAATAAAGGTTGAAGGGTTCATCGATCTTATTAAGGGCCATATAGATGGCAAAGAGCTCTTTAAATTGTGGAGATTTATCAGACAGAGGCTGAAAATATATCGTGGGGGGGTCATTAGGGGAGTCGCATACAACCAATGTTGCCCCCTTTTTCCCCCATCTGTAAAGGCTGTTGTAGTATTTTTTTTATGGGTCTTTGAAAGAAGAGCCGAGGTGGGAACCAGCAACGTACTGGAATAACTGACATCCATTTATCTTTGGGATAGTGATTATCAGTCTGTCCCAGGAAGCCTATTAAGCTAATTGAAAAAGAGGAATGATGTTTTAGGAGCCATTGTACATCCAATAATGGGAAGGGGATAATGAGGGTATCAGGTTCATTTCATTTCCTATAATCTGTAGGGTTCTATCTCTTCCTTGATGAATCATAGATGCAAGGGTGTCTACTTCTGTAAGAAAGTGAGGTGCGCCCCCTACTGGTGTGTGAAGCCATTCTAGTACTCCATGTGGCTGATGAATTGCTCCCACCATGGTGAGGTAGGAGTT